CATCAGACTGTAACCTCCTGCACCCTTACCCTTTAGATTTGCATCTCTCCCTCACACACTTAATTCTCCAGTGTTAAACCACAAGGTTTATTGATTCAGTCTCAGAACTTCCTTTCCATTGCAGGGACACACATGTTTTCTGAGACCAATATCAGGAGCACAAGACTAATGTAGTCAGAGATGGCTCAAGTACTGGCCTGTCTCATGGTGATTGAGTCAAGATCTCGCATAAGGTATATAGATGGTATAGTAGGGAGAGAGGGAAGCAGGATGTTAGTGAGAGTGTTACATTGTATTCGAGTGATGTACTGACAGAGCTGAATACAGCTAAAGATATGTTGAAGTTGTGAGAAATGGATTTGAAACTGATGCGTTTGGAAGGTGTGTGAGGCTGAGCTGGAGCTGATGTGAATGCCAGCTGTAGATCCTGAGAGCTGGATATGCTGCTGACTGAGAGATGGGTATGTGGTTTCATGAACAGTCTGAAAGGTCACTGGTGTTATGAATAGCAAAAGGAAGTGCCGTGCAAAAACTTGTAATAATTGGTCATGTAAACCTTTTCTTGAAGCTATCTGAGAAATATGGCAAAGTGTTTAGCATCAAGCTCGGACCCACAACTACAGTGGTGCTGACTGGCTGCGAAGCAGTGAAGGATGCCCTCGTGAACAATGCAGATGAATTTGGAGAAAGAGCACACATCCCAATATTTGAAGCACATTCAAAAGGACATGGTAATTTGCAGCTTTAGCTTAATTGTTGTATAATTTAGAAGTCAAAATCAGGCTGTATTCTGTCCCTGTTCGGATAATGAATACTTTTCAGTGTTTTGTACAGGTTAGTTTGTTTTAAAGCATTATATTTTAAAGAACTTTGAAAGATAAAATTTATATATGAATAAGATTATAATTAATTCATTGTAATTTCTAAAACATACAATCGTGCAATATCCAAAAATGATAGCCATTAGGGAGCATTTGGTGATGTTGGTGTGGAGATGTTTAGTAAATTCATTGAGCAACTTATATTCCATGATTTCTACAGAGATGCTAACACAATATTTAGTAATACACAAAGGTTATACTGTGGGTTTGGGAACATAATTTGCTTTGACACGGAGTGAGACCATGGCTCATCTGTGAAAAAACTCAATTCTGCCTCAAGCTTCTGAATACCTTTACTGAACAGGAGCCTTTTGAGCTCCAATCTAAAATTAATATTTGACCCTGTGTCACCTGCGATTTATGTTACGTGAAGGAGGGTAAGAGAAAGTTTGTGTAGAGTATAAATGCTGGCATAGAGCATTTGGTCCAAATGACTTGTTTCTGTACTGTAAATTCAATATAGACCTGTATTGTAGACAACGTAATGCCTTACACATATGATCCTAATATCTCCAATAATAATTTCAAGGCTTCCAACACTTTATATTCAATTTATTTGCTGACTGAAGAAAATTAACTCAATCTATTAAATGCAAATATCTTTATATTTGATATTTGTATGACTTTTCTAATGAAAAAGCTTTTAAAAGCTTTTGTGCACACAATGGTGTTGTGAAATGAAACAAACATTCTCATATACAGCCATCAGCTCATCAATCCCATGTGGAGTGTAACACAGCTTGAAGTAGTGCAGAGAACCCACTGCACTGCCATACAATCTACTCTCAGCTGTGGCGCAATCAGTAGCATTCTTGTCTGAGTCAGACATTGTTGGCTCAAGTTCCACACAGAGATTTGAACATATAATACTCCCAGGAAAGGTGAAGGAAACTTCGAATGACAAGACATGTGGAACATCCAGTCAAGAGGAAGAAGGAAGCTTACTTAAGGTTGAGGAAGCAAGGATCGGACAGGGCTCTAGAGGTCTACAAAGTAGCCAGGAAGGAACTGAAGAATGGACTGAGGAGAGCTAGAAGGGGGTATGAGAAAACCTTGGCAGACAGGATCAAGGAAAAGCTCAAGGCGTTCTATGCTTACGTGAGGAACAAGAGGATGGCCAGAGTGAGGGTAGGGCCAATCAGGGATAGTGGAGGAAATTTGTGTGCGGAGTCAGAGGAGGTAGGGGAGGTCCTTAATGAATATTTTGCTTCAGTATTCACCAGTGAGAGGGACCTTGACGTTTGTGAGGACACCATGAAACAGGTTGATGTTAGGAAGGAGGATGTGCTAGAAATTTTGAAAAACATGAGGATAAATAAGTCCCCTGGGCCAGGCGGGATATACCCAAGGTCACTACGGGAAGTGAGGGAAGAGATTGCTGGCCCTTTGGCAATGATCTTTGCATCCTCACTGTCCACTGGAGTTTCACCAGAAGATTGGAGGGTAGCAAATGTCATTCCTTTGTTCAAGAAAGGGAATAGGGATAATCCTGAAATTACAGACCAGTCAGTCTTACTTATGTGGTGGGCATATTATTGGAGAGGATTCTCAGAGATAGAATTTATGATTATTTGGAAAAGCACAGTTTGATTAGAAATAGTCAGCATGGCTTTGTGAGGGGCAGGTCATACCTCACCAGCCTTATTGAATTCTTTGAGGATGTGACAAAACACATCGATGAAGGTAGAGCAGTGGACGTGGTGTATATGGATTTTAGCAAGGCATTTGATAAGTTTCCACGTGGTAGGCTCACTCAGAAAGTAAGGAGGCATGGGATTCAGGGAAATTTGCCTGTCTGGATACAAAACTGGCTGTCCAATAGAAGACAGAGGGTGGGAGTAGATGGAAAGGATTCAGCCTGGAGCTCGGTGACCAATGGTGTTCCGCAGGGTTCTGTTCTGGGACCTCTGCTCTTTGTGATCTTTATAAATGACTTGGATGAGGAAGTGGAAGGGTGGATTAGTAAATTTGCTGATGACATGAAGTTGTGGACAGTGAGGAGGGCTGTTGTAGGTTGCAATGGGACATTGACAGGATGCAGAGCTGGGCAAAGAAGTGGCAGATGGAATTCAACCCAGAAAAGTGTGAAGTGATTCATTTTGGAAGGTCAAATTTGAACGCAGAATACAGAGTTAATGGCAGGATTCTTGGCAGTGTGGAGGAACAGAGGGATCTTGGGATCCACGTCCATAGATCCCTCAAAGTTGCTACCCAAGTTGATAGGGTTGTAAAGAAGGCGTATGGTGTCTTGGCTTTCATTGGCAGGGGAATTGAGTTTAAGAGCCATGAGGTTATGCTGCAGCTCTACAAAACTCTGGTTAGACCACACTTGGAATATTGTGTTCGGTTCTGGTCACCTCATTATAGGAAGGAGGTGGAAGCTTTAGAGAGGGCGCAGAGGAGATTTATCAGGATGCTGCCTGGACTGGAGGGTGGGTCTTATGAGGAAATGTTGAGAGAGCTAGGGCTTTTCTCATTGGAACAAAGAAGGATGAGAGATGACTTGATAGAGGTGTACAAGATGATGAGAGGCATAGATAGAGTGGATAATCAGAGACTTTTTCCCAGGGCGGAAATGACTATTATGATGGGGCATAAATTTAAGGTGATTGGAGGAAGGTATAGGGGAGATGTCAGAGGTAGGTTCTTCACACAGAGAGTGGTGGGCGTGTGGAATGCGCTGCCGGCAGTGGTAGTGGAGTCAGATACTTTAGAGACTTTTAAGCGACTCTTGGATAAGCACGTGGAGGATAGTAAAATGTAGGGTATGCAGGGTAGATTGAACTTATGAGGGTAATAGGTCCGCACAACATTGTGGGCCGAAGGGCCTGTACTGTGCTGTACTGTTCTATGTTCTATGTTCTAGTGGAGGAATACTGTATTGTTAGAAGTACACTCCATGGAATTCCCATCTCATTCCGGTGGGAATAAAATGTCTTGTGGTATTACTTAAAGTACAGTAGAGAACTTCTTTCCTGCTGTCCTAGCTATTATTACATTAAGTTATGAGGAGACATTATACAAATTAGGCCTGTTGACTGTTGAATTTAGAAGGTTAAGGGATGATGTGATCAAAGTCTATAAGATACTAACAGGAAAATTATAAACAAGAAAAGGAACAGATAAAGAAACAGGCTATAAATAGTAAGTACAGATAAAATATTTCCATTGATTGGGGATTCTAGAACTAAGGGCATGGTCTGAGAAGTAGGGCCAGATGATGCAGGAAAATTTTATTAGGAAATGTTTCTAAACACAAAAAGGATGGCAGATGTTTGGGACTCTCTTCCACAAATGGCAATGGATGCTGGATCAGTTGTTAATTTTAAATCTGAGATAAGTAATTTTTGTTAAACAATGGAGTTCGACCAAAGATCAGCCAGAATCTTATTGAAGGGTGGAATAGGCTTGAGGAGCTGAATGGCTTACTTGTGTTTTTATGTTGCTGCGTTTCTATTTGTCCCTCCATCAACATCTCTAAAATAAACAGTTTTGGAAACTTACTGTGTGTAAATTGGTTCGCACATTTATAATGTTCTAACAGTGACTTCACCTGAAAAATAACACGGGGACTGATGTATTTAGGATGCCCACATGTTGCCTCTAGAAGTGAACAGTAGAAATATTTCACTGCAGAAATGCAAACTTTTCTCAGCACATTGTGTACAATTTGCCGCATTGCTCATGCCCTCGATTCTATGAGAAAAGTCGTCAGTTGAAATGAGGATTACAAGAGTCACAGTGTTTGCTTCTTTCTGATGGATTTAATTTAAGGTATTGTTTTTGGTCATGGGGAGTCATGGAAGCAAATGCGAAGATTTGCTCTCACCACTTTACGAGATTTTGGAATGGGTAAAAAAACCATTGAAAACAAAATAATCAAGGAATCAGATTTTCTGGTAGAAATGATTGATTCTTATGAAGGTGAGACTCTGTAAGGTAAATAAACAGAATTACCACTATTCCTTTTCTCTGTGTGCTTGAACCTGTTTACAAATACCAATGTACACAGCAAGGGACTATTCAGGCCATTGTATTCTGCTAGCTCTTTGTAAGAGCAATCCAAAACTAATTGCAATTATTGCTGCATGCCCCCTTCTGATGCGTATCCAATAGATCACATCCAATTGGTATGACCAACTAGTTCATAGATTTCTAGTTCATCCATATCTCAAATTATGCAGTTCCCTAGCATAATTTTGGTATTGAAGCAGTCTTGAAAAATTCTGTTGAGAGTTTCTGCTGTCTCCTGTCTATTTTCCTTTAACAGCCAAGGGAACAAGATTCTGGGTCTCATGTAAAAAACTATGCAACTGTGATTTCCTGTAAAGTTCAATACTCGATTGAGTATGATTTTTAAAGTTTCCTTTGCAGGACAACCATTTAATCCAACTTTCCAAGTGAACTCTGCTGCAGCCAATATAATTTGCTCTATAGTTTTTGGTGACAGATTTGATTATGAAGATGAAGGGTTTGTCAGTGTACTAAAGAGAATGAATGAAAATGTTCAACTTCTTGGTTCACCTATCATTCACGTAAGTCTTATCTTGTATTTGACTAGTAAAACTTTCCAGAAAAGATCATTTGCAACTTTCAGTAATGGGAATCTGTAAGTGGTGTCAGCAAATCTATGGTGCAATTTAATTGACCATTAATTGCCCAGTTAGGGGCCTTAATTGGCATGAGGGCAAGCAGGCTGCCCTAGGCTTGACCCTCCTGCACATAACATGATGGGTGAGTTTGGGGGCGGATGGAGGGGTGGTGGCACTTTGTCCACAGAAGTGTACAGCCTCCCTGGACTGCAAACCTGCCCGTGAAACTATATCCTACAACTCAGTTTTGAATAGATTCAATATGTGCTGTCAGGGGGAGCGGATTCCAATGTTTAATGACATTTTGAAAGAACAAATCAGTCCCCATCTCAGTTTGCAATGGGGGAATTCTTAATTTATTGTCCTGGTTCTAAATACTTTAACAATTGAAAACATCCTCTCACCTACCCTGTCAAGCTGCCTCTGAATCTTGAGTTCAGAAAGAAAACTACTACTCATTGAAACTAAAACATAGGCCTGTCCAACGCAGATGGCAATCATTTAGCCCGGTGTTCCTACGCTAATTCTTTTGAAAGAGTTATCCAGTTGATCCAAGTCCCTTCCTCATTCCCATAACTCAGCAAATTGATTGTTTCATCCAATTCCCCTTTGGAAGATCTTGAATTTTTTTACACAGCTCTTTCAGGCATTGTATGATGCTAATGATAATAAAAACCTATAGTTAGTCACAATGTTTAAAAACACGTTGCATCTACCAAAGATTCATAATATTTTGAAGATTTATCACTTTTTAAAATTGTGATTATTTAGATGTGAGCAGGTAACTGGTTTGCTTTGATATATACACAAATAACATGATGTAATTTTGATTCTGCAGCTGTACAATGTATTTCCCCTCCTGAGATACCTTCCAGGGCCACACAATAAAGTTTTGATCAATGCAGAGAAGAACGTTAACTGCCTCAAAGGATTTTTCAAAGAAAATCTTCAGAAACTAGATGAAAGTGACCTGAGGAGTTTTGTTGATGTATTCATGGTCAGACAACAGAAGGTAAATGCTCCACTTCCTTTTAAAGAATTTTGACACCTTCCAGAGGTTATATTTATGTATTGCAGAAGAAGGGTCAACTTTGTTCATTTCACATTGCAATGAGAGGCTGAATAGACTCCTTTTATGCTGTAAATGTATATGATTCTAGATAAAGGCTGTGAAAAGAGTCATTCTTTTTATAAAGAAAGAACTGGCGTTTGTACTGTGACTTTCATAACCCCAGGATGCCACAAAGCACGTTACAGCTGATGAAGCAGTTTTGAAGTGTCGTCTCTTTTCTGATGTGGATTTGTCCAACATCAATAAAATCTGGCCAGAACCACATTGCTGTCTGTGGGAGTTTGCTCTGCTAAGATTGGTTTTGCACTTCCTATTGGCCTGTTTCCACACTGTAGGGATTCTATTATTCTACATTATCATATCGGCTGCATGACAAAAACCACTTAATATTGACTTTAAGGTGCTTTGAAACATCTTAAGGTCTTGAAAAGCACAATGGAATAGTTTACTTTACTATACATCGACCTAATATGCAGACAGCACCTCAGAATAATATCTTATCTGAAGACTGTAACCCCTGACAGTGTAATATTCCTCAGTACTACATTGGAGAAAACACACAGATGCCTCATGTTCCTAATCCCTATTTTGTGCTGCACTTCCTAATAATCCATGAGCCAAGTTAAGTATGTATCATAGGACATACGGTACAGGTCCCAATACAATTCTGAGCTATTGCATTGTTAATTTTGCTTTTAGGAATCAGACTTCCATCAAGACAACTTAACGTACACGACAGTGCACCTGTTTGCTGCAGGGATGGAGACCACCTCAACCACACTTCATTGGGGAATGCTTCTGATGATGAAATATCCAGAGATCCAGAGTAAGAAGCACTCTTATTAATTCCACTCTGGAGCTGACCTTGTTGTATGATTTTCAATGTCTCATATCTTCCATTTACCGTGATTGTGATTTTGAACTTATTCGAAAATATAATGATACTTCCAATGACTTTAAAAACGTGCTCGGTTTGCAGAAAAGGTTCATGAGGAAATTATCAGAGTTATTGGATCGGAATGACCTCCCAGAGTTGAAGATCGGAAAGATTTGCCTTACACTAATGCAGTGATCCCATGAAATCCAGAGGTTTAGTGACATTGCACCAATGAGCGTAACACATGAAACAACAGTGGATGTAAATTTCAGAGGATACTTCATTCCAAAGGTACCCTCAGGAAAGGACGGCTACATTCAGGGCTGGATATACAGATAATAGGGAGGAAGAAAAGGAACTTTGAAAACTGGTTGCACTGTGCAGCATTAGTACCTGAATGACAATCTCATCAACTTAGATATACCATGTTATGTACAATAATACAGCAATGTCTGATTGTATTTGGGTACATTATTAATGTTGCAATATCTGCAGGTAATGGAAGAAAAAACAGAGGAGTGAGGAACTAAATTGACAAGATACGCCTTGACCCCAACATTTTGTATTTGCACAGTCTCTCTTAATGTAGTAAAGCATCCCAAGGACCTTCACAGGAGAGTTATTGAAGAATAATTAATACCAGAAGCAGCAAACTGAGATACATGGACATATAGCCAAAAGCTTAGTCGAAAGGCAGGTTTTAAGGAACTCATTAAAGGAGGAGAAAGAGATAGAGAGGGGATCGAGTTCAGGACCCATGCAACGCAGACACAGCCAGCAATCCTGCAGAAATTAAATTCAGTGATGCTCAGGAAACTACAATTAGAATGTAAATGCTATTTCTAAATTTCAAATGCATTTATCAATGAGCAACTGTTCAATTATTTTTTATAGTTCCTTTGGATTATAACAATAAAAACACAATATAGAAATATAAATTTTAATATTTTTAGGGAACCCAAGTAATTCCAGTGCTGACCACTGTGCTGTATGATAAAACCCCATGGGAGAAACCTGATGAGTTCAACCCATCTCACTTTCTGAATGCTGAGGGCAAGTTTGTGAAGAGAGATGCCTTCATGCCATTTTCTGCAGGTAATAGAACTTATTAATGTTTGAATGATATGGGAGTGAAATATTCCCTCCCTGGCTGGGGAGAATAAGATGTAGGAGTTGCATCTTTGAGAGACTTTTAATTCTATTGAGGGGAAAGGCAATGGTGGGTGTGCTACAGTATAAGGAAAATCCAACTCAATATCTGTGCACATAGTTTTTAACTAAGGGATTGAGACATAATCAGCAATGGGAATCTGGGGTAATGTCTCTGTTCCCTTGGTCTGTGAAAACCTATTTATTTCCACAAAGATAAGATTAATTGCTGGTACACTGGAAATTACTTGATTAATCCTTGATTAGAGATGTACCTTTCACAACTGCAGGGCATTTTAAAGTGCTTCTCGTCAATATTCTAGAATTAAAATCATTGTTGAAATGTAGGGAATCTCTGCAGCCATCAGTACACAATGGCAGACACGGCTACAATTTGAAGTGTTAACTGGAAACTAGCCCCTCTGACAATGCAGCTCTTGCTTAATACCACAGTGAGAGCACCAGCCTAGATTTAGTGTCCTGGGTTCTAGACTGGTGCTTGAATTTACAGCCTGCAAGATGAGTGTACTACTCACCGAGCTGTGGTCAGCAGCTTGTGTCATTGATAAATTTCACCCAAACCTGGTACTTGTTCAACTTTAAAAAAGCTGATGGAATAGTCAACAGTTGGCTGACATTAGTTGGTTATTTTTTACAAACATTTGTAAAAAGCTTTTGAGAATTTTTACCTCTCCTCCTGAAAACAAGTCAAAATGGAGAAGAAGATTCCAGTTTCTCAGTGGTTGCTGAAATGAGTTTGCCAAAAATCCTTGGACTTTCCTTTTCCAGTTTCTCAGTGCTCTGCTCTGCTATAATCTCCTTAGTGTTCAAATTCTAACTTATGCAGGGCAGATCTCAAGCTAACTGGCCTCTAGTTTCCTGTTTTCAACCTCCTTCCATTCTTCAATTGCAGGATTGTATTTACTGCTTTTCAGTCTGATGGAACGTTTCCAGAATCTAGGGAACTTCGGAAAATGAACACTAATGCATCTACTACCTCATTAGCCACCTCTCTCAAGACGTTAGGGTGAAGTCTACCAAGGACTGGGGACTTGTTAGCTCACAGTTCCAGTTTGTTCAATACTGTTTCCCGAGCGATCGGAAGGTAACCATGTTTCTGTCTCCCTTCCATAACCTGATTGATAACTAATAATGGAATGTCTTTTTGTGCCCTCTATAGAGGAGATATAAGTAAAATATTTATTTATTCCTTCCAACATTTCCTTGTTATCCTCTGCCAACTCTCTATCCTCATTCTTTACAGTATGAACACTGACTTTCCTCACTCTCCTCCTTCTGAATACTTGTGAAAACTCTTGCTGCCTGTTTTCACATTTCTAGCTAACTTTCTCTCCTGCTGTAACTTCTTTCTCCGATTAAGCCTCTAGTCTTTCACTGACATTCCTTGTATCCTATCCAGTTATTCGATTAGCCATATATCTTTGCCAGTTACATGTTTTCCTTAAGTTTAATGTTTTCTTGAACTTCTGTAGTTAACCACAGATGGTCCTCTCCTTTGGATTTTTTTTACAGTTGGAATATAAATATTCAGAGTTTTCTGAAATATTCACTTCACCATTTTTCATCATTTCTGTAATGACGAATTCCCCAGACTAGCGTCCCAAGTCTTTTGACATACTTCTGTGCCAGTATAGTTGCCTTTATTTAAATTTAAAAGCACTAATCTTAGAACCACATTCCTTTCTTTCAACCGAGATATAAAATTCAATCCTATTGTGGTCATTGTTACCTGTGGGTGTGTTTACCCTAAGATGATTAGTTAACCATGTCACATTTCACAATACTAAGGCTAGCAAAACCTGTTCTCTGCACTGCAGGATACAGCACTGATATAGAACTCAACTGTGGGATACAGCACTGATATGGAACCCAACATACCAGAAAAAAATGTGATGGAGGGAACCCAAGTATGCACAAGGAATATTTGTCATTTCCTACAAAAAGACAGGCATAGCCAGGATCCACATAGATATACATATTTGGAGGGAATTAGTGATGTTAAAGGAGAAATTGTTCAACAGGAACCCTTTTAGTTAGACACGGGAAGATGAATGGAATAGTTAGAGATTGTTTGGGCCTCCATTCAAGGAGAGAGTGGAGAGTCTTCAGACCTTCCTGTTGGGGGTTAGAAGTGTAATGAGCACCCACGAGGAAGATAAGGTTAAGACAAGGAAATTCAAACTTGTGAAAGTGATAGAGGGCCTTGGAAGAGTCACGGATGTAGTTGGGAGGAGATTGAATCAGGCATTAGACCAGGTAGGAGGGTGCCATGTGGGCACTTTCACACTTGCACCCCAATTAACTCCAAGGTGGGAGGGCCTATGATTGACCTTTACACAAACTAATTGCAGACAAGCACTAACTGTGCAGGGTACATGTGCCTGACCCAATATCAGCAAGGCCATTGGCCCACTAGCCACAGAGACCCATTCCCTGCCTTTCTTGCTGACCTTTCCATCATTACTCCTGATTCCCACTATTGTCAGGAACCCGGAGAACACCAGCTCCGGTTATCAGCTTATACAGAGAGGAGAAGGATTCAATTCTTGTAAGCTCACAAATTACTTTATTAATGCATTAACCAAGACACGTGTTGCTTAATTGTTTTTATCACAAAACTGGACCTTGTATATTTTCCCACAAACTGAACAAGGATCTACTTACAAACCCACTAGAGTCCTCTGACACTCCCCAAGTAGTCATAGAATATAAAAACTAATACCCGATCAGGATAGCTGTTGCTGATGATGTGGGCTGACACTGGCCAGGCGCTGCACTCGATGTTGTCACCACGTCCTTGACGTAGGGTCTGCTGCTGCGATGGTTGGTCTCCGGAGTTTTCACTGGCTGCAGACCCCAAGGGTCTTCTTTTTATTCTTTCTCTTATCTCTCTCAAGTTGTGCTGTCTTCTTCCCGTTGCCTCAGGCTAATTCACTTATTGCATGCCTTTACTTGGCCTAGAGGCTTTGGTAGCATTACCTCATTATTTCTCACCCACATAAGGCATTTGCATTACCTCATCTTTGCAGAACTTAGTTAATTCAAACCGGTTTAAATCAGCTCAAACTGGCACCTGGGCGCAGGTCATTTTTAGTTCACAAGCTGCTTCTTTCTTCGTGTCAGCACCTTTGCATTCAGTACCTCCTGTTAGCAATGTTGGTGTGTGGTACCCTGCCCTCCCTCTCTCTCTCTTTATCTTTCTGCAGCCTCTGGCTAATGTCTCCCCAGGCAGAAATGTCAGCAGGTTGTACCTTTCTCTCTCTATCTCTCAGCAGCCTCTAACTAACACCACTGCTTCCCTGTGGCCTGATCTCCACCATTAATACTAGGTTTGAGTGGGTGTTGTGCTGCCAGCATCTACCTTGTTCAGTACAGCTGCTGGATGACCAATGACTGGAAGTTTAAGGCAGGTAGGGCTTGAGGAATCCCTGGGAAAGACTAACCACTGCCCAGTTAAGTGTTTGACTTAATACAGTTAAAAGAGATAACAGGGGACTCTTTAACCAGTGGCCAAGACTCACAACATCTCCCATACCATCTGAGGGGTCTACTGAGGCAGTCCTGTTCATAGATCTTGGCACAACAATACAATACAGTACAGTACATTAGCAGCTTTTCTCAATTTTCTCTGAACTATGTGTTAATAATGAAATAACTCTATCCAGCCCAGCATCCCATCTACTTACGCGTGCATAGAAATTGACACTGGTCTGGCCTCCTCAGAGCCAGCTCTCAGAGTGAGAGCCAGACCTCTGACACTCCTGTTTATACCTGTCAGCCAGGGTTCCCTGATTGGACCAGATTAACAGCTCCAATCAGGGAACTCATATTCAAAGATGTCCATCTGGCTGACTTCATTATAATCACTACATCCACCCCCTCCATATGTGGGCATGTAGGCCTGTTCTTTTTCTTGTAACCTTTCCTGGGGCATTTTCACACTGGATTCAGTTCATCTGATTGAGCCTCGGATATGGGAAGCATGTACCGGACTGTAGACCACCTCTTGTGCCTGGAGGATCTTGGAAGAAATTAAGCCTCATCTTCAGGCAGTAAAGGTGTCAAGGCTGCAACATTTGCTGAGTCCATCTCAGACTCCAAGGTTTCTGAACAACTAGGCAGAGGTGAGCACCCATAGGTTCTGACAGCCTTTCCAGCTTTTCTGAGGGACCGGATATGTTTTGCTCCTGCCCTGTTTGCGAGTTTCATGTGGTCCATGCTTATTCAGGGCTGCCTCACCAACCGGAACTTTATATGTCACAGGACCTGACCCTGCATCGAATGTGCCTCTTACCCATGCTGGGCCATTCCCTCTGGTATTGACACCAAACTTCATGCCCTGAAGTAAGCTGCCTCTCTCACTTAGAGCAGTCTTGTGTCTGGCATTGGCATTCCTGATGCCTTTTCACCTTCTCCCCCTCACCCAGGTCTGAGAACATCAGATTTAACCTCATGCAGGCTCTTCTCCCAGTTAGCAATTCTGCTGGAGCTGTCCCCGTAGTTGCGTGAGGAGTGCTCCCACAATCAAACTGAAACCAGGACAGTTTGTATCAAGTGCATCTGTAGGCTGTTCCTTTCAGCCTGCCTTCAAAGTTTGGCCTGCACTTTCCAACAGACTATTGGACAATGGATGGTATGGAGCTGTCCTTATATACTGAATGCCATTTGAATTTAAGAAATACCCAAATTCCCTGCAGGTAGATAATGACTCGTTGTCTGTGATCAACATCCCTGGGAGTCCATGTATTGCAAAAGATGCTCACAGCTTTTCAACTGTTGCCCCTGTGTTTGATGAATGAACTTTATGCACATCCACCCACTTTGAATGGGTGTCCACATTGAGTAAGAACATATAGCCCATGAAAGGATAGACATAGTTGACACGTAACTGAGTCCAGGGTTTACCCAGCCATTCGCATGAATGTAGGGGAGCTGTTGGCAGTAATTTTTGTTCGTATTGGCACACTGGGCACTGTCCCACCAACGTGGCTATGTCAGCATCCAATCCTAGTCACCAGACATAATTTCTCACCAACATCTTCATTTTGAAACCCAGTGGATAACCTTGGTTGGGTTCAGCCAATATCTGGCAGTGACCTTCACTCATGTTCCCCATAATAACATGCTGCCCACTGTGGTGATAAGGTCTTGCTGGGTCCAGAAAGGTTTCATTTCTGGTCATGATGGCTCTTTTGTTTCCGTAACACCGCCAGCTGTTTTAGTTTTGCCAGGACGGGATCTTTTTGCATCCATAGTCTGATATTGTCAGCGGTGACTGGAATGGCATCCAGAAAGTTTAAATCCAGAACATACTCTTCCAGTGGCGGCATGACTGATGGTGTATCTGCCAGTGGGAGGCAGCTTAAGACATCTGCATCTGCCACTTGGCTTCCCAGAGACTGTTCCAACTTGTAATTGGATATGCTTATAATAAGAGCTCACCGCTGAATTCGACCAGAAGCTAAGGGCAGCATGACCCTGTCACCTTTACGTAGGCCTCGCAGGTGTTTGTTGTTGAGTACTATAACAAATTTACATCCGAAAAGGTACTGGTGGAACTATCTCACACCAAAGATGTGAGGGTGCCAGAATGGAGGCCAGGTTATGCATGAATTTTGTGTAATAATTCACTAACTCCAGGAAAGGCTAAGCTCTGATACAGATGTGGGAGCTGGGTACCTTCGATTGCCCTCGCTTCACCTTCCAATGGGTATAACCCAGTTTTGTCAACTCTGTAGCCCAAGTAGGTCACATGGGGGTGCCTGCATTACACACTTTTCCCTCTTAAGATGTACATCCACCTGAACGCTATGTCCAAGTTCTCTAAATATTTTTTATTGGTCTTCCCAGTTAGTCATCCAGACAAATGGTGACTGGGTAGACCTTGCAAAATGTTCTCCATCATCCACTGGAAAATGGCTCAGGCTGAAGATCCCCCAAAAGGCAGTCTCGTTTGTTGGTATAAATCCTTATGGGTATTAATTGTAGCATATCTCTGGG